AGGCTGCTTCTTTTAGACTTTCTCTTCAATTGTCAACCTTGAAGCCTCTGATTCTTTGTTCATGTTTGAATGAGGCATCTTGATGAAGGAAACCCAACAAACGATGAGGAATGAGAATGTATGGTCAATTCCCTAAACATGCAAATCAGCAACAACCACCTAGGTAAGGAAGAGAACATGTCAGCTGTCAGCCATAGTCTAGAGGCTTAGTTAATTATTTGCCAATGCTTACTACATCAAGACCCATTCTGATCAGGTATATCTCAAGATAAAGGTTTCAAATTGATGAGGCTTTCTTTTCAGGCAGAGATGTTCATTTATAGCTTACCTACTCATCTTCCAGGATTATTGTAAGGTCAAATTCAAAATATGGAAATATTGTTTAGGATGACAGGCTCTTACCATTGTAGTTATTATGTGCTCACTTAAGGAAACCAACCTCCTTACCTGAAGAAACATCCTCCATGATTCATACAGATAATACTTGAACCCTTGGATCACAATTCACAGACAGACATAGCTTCAGAGAATTATGGTCCTTGCTTGTATATAAAGCCAAATGATTACTAAAATAGCATATGTATGTGTCCATATAAATTTTTCCACATACATTTGTACATATATATGTATATATGTGTGTATACATATTTATTTAATTTTAATGGTTTTTTATACTGATACATGACAGTAGAATTCATTTTGACAGAATTATGCAAGCGTGGAATATGTCTTATTATAATTAGTACCCCATTATTATTGATGTACATGATGGTGGGATTCATTATGATGTATACATACAAGAACATAGGAAAATTAATTTGAATTCATATCACTCTGTGTGTGTTTTTTTTTAATTTATAAAAATGGATGAGTTGAAAATTCAAAGAATGATGGGTTTTACATAAGAATAAAAAATAAACTGTTTCATGACTCCCATTTTCAGTAAGGAAAACAATTTTAAATTTTTACAGTTAACTAATATAGTTTTGTAAGTTAATATTTATTTGTTCACTTACCTTTAAATGATCATTTCCAATTAGTTCACAGGTTATTCGTGACCAACGTCTATACTTTGAACTCCTTAGCCATTTACAAGAAAACATTAATACAAGAGAAAATCTGAAAGCTCATTGGATCTGTTGGAAACCACTGATTACAGAATAAAGAATAGCAATACATCGGGCTGGGGATGTGGCTCAAGCAGTAGCGCGCTCGCCTGGCATGCGTGCGGCCCGGGTTCGATCCTCCAGCACCACATACAAAAACAAAGATGTTGTGTCCGCCAATAACTAATAAATAAATAAATATTTAAAAAAAAAAAAAAAGAAAGAAAATGTAAACAAAAAATGACCATCTCAAAAGGTTTTTAAAAAGTCACCAAAGTGCATGTCCCAGAGATAACCACTTAATACCAAATTTTTTTTATCTTATACACTTCTGAATATGTGTGTTATTGTTACAAATTTTTAGTATATTTAATATGTATAAATATATTTGGTATATATTTGAGTGTGAGAGTGTGTGTGTGTGTGTGTGTGTGTGTGTCCACACGCGTGCACATGCACAGTACTGGGGATCCAACCCAGGACCTTGTACATG